CGCTCGGCCGCCTCAAGCACTCCGACTCCAGCTTGGCCACCATGTCCAGCACGCGCACGGGCTCGCCCTGCTGCTGCTCGCCCCTCTCCGCGGGCACCTCGCACGGCCCAGCAGAGGAGAAAGGGTCTGAGCTGGAAAGCGCGCCTTTAGGCTGAGCGCTCAGCCTCGTCGCAGAAGCAGGCGTGCAGGTTTTCGTGCAGTCCACCAGCAAAGCACTTGCTCGTTGCTCCAGGAAGGCGACCATCTCTATCACCGAGAGGGACCGGCCCGGGAACGCGCCCTCGCCGTTATCGGTCACGTAATGCACCGAACAGTGCTCGATGCCGCAGGCGAAAGGCTCCGGCGGGGAGCACCTGGCGTTCACTTCCCTCATACTTTCCAGTTGAATTTTGGCTTTTTTAAGATCCGCTGATTTTTTCCTGCGTTTAGCCGTTCTTCCGTCGATATCCCACGTGCTTTTGACTTTCATCGAGCCTAGCCGGGGGTCGCCGCTGCCCTGCTGGGCCGCAAAGAACGCGATCTTCTCCTTCGTGTTGCCAGGTTTCACGACAGCCCAGACATCCAGAGGCCCTTCCCCTTCTTCTCCCTGGTGAATGGTTGCAGACAGGGCGTTCTTCTTGTCCCTCGCGCTTGGGCCATCCACTGGACCCTTCCCGTTCATATTGCACATAGTATTTGGATAAATAATCCCCAGAAGCTTCCGAGATGGAGTCACCAGGGAGGGTTTCGGGAAAACGCTCAGTTTGGTGCAGTCAGGGGTGTATTTTTCTACTCGTGCTGATCTCTGATGGCTCACCGGTGGGCCTCGCCAGGAATCCTGGCTGATTTCTGGCGATCTCTCTTTCTTCTGTATCTTGAGATATGGCTTTAAGTGCATACCAGAAACCCTAGAAAAACACAAAGGGGAGAAGTTATGGTTGCAAGTTCTCCTGGAACTGGAGAAGGTGACGCAGCGTAGGCACCAGCTCTACGCTTCCCGCTCTACGTCAAGCGGTGCACACTTCCACAGGAACCACAGGAGAAAGGAAAAGCAGCAACGAAGGCTGCAACAGCCAACCTTGGAGAACTTCTTGCCACGGGATTACGATCTAAAGGATCTCCCGTTAGAGACATCTGCTCTCAGGGAGCTGCAAGGAGAAATCCTAACGTTTAAGTTACATCCATCGCACGACCAGTGCTAGGGGTTCGTTCCAGAGCGAGAGCCTTCCTTCCGCCTGTTCGTTTCTTAATCCTGTTGTAAGGTATGTGTGGGTCATGGGGTTTATCTTGACATTAGCTACCAGATAAGAGATATTTATGTATACTCTTTTCAGTAGATATGTATACTCTTTTCAGTAGATATGTATACTCTTTTCAGTAGATAAAGTACAGTTAAAGCTGGAAAGGGAAATGAGCAAGTGTAATTACACTTATCAGAGATCCCAGCAGATATCTAATCTCCTAACACCACCCAAAATTAAACCTGGCCTTTAGGATACGAACAATGGCAAATCTGGCGTACTCTCCCCAGAGAGGTCCTTACGCCATACCTCAGATGCCCTCCCAAAAGCGACAGAAGCATCACGTACGGCTGAAGAGAACCACTTTCAACTACATGTTTTTATGGTTAAGAAATCAAGAGCTGCGCAGGAGACACTTGGACGCTGCGGACACCACCACGGCAGCACCGCTCCTGCGCCAGCCCCAGGCACCCAGCTCCCTTCGGTTACACCTTCGCAGCCGTCTTCAATTCAAAGCTCGCACAACGCAAAAGCCCGCGGCGCTGCCACGTAGGACGCAATTATCAGGAGACTTCAGGCTCTTCTCCCGGGAGCATCGCACAAGCATATGACAGAACTAACTATAGATTATGTTTCCATGGTAATCTTTGAATTGTTACATTAAAAAGGCGGCCTCCTTTCTGAGACGGGGATAATCCGTGCTTGCGAGTTTAAGAACAGCAGGTTCAATGCCACGTTCATCACGAGCCGATACGGACACACTCAGACACTGAGGATGTTTCCCTTGACAGCCACCACCCAAACAGTTGCTTTCATATTGTGTTTCTACCCTAAAAATGGCTTTTAACTAAAAACCTCAAGGCCTAGCATCTATGAAGTCAGACAGCTTTGTAGTTGTAGTACCTGCGGTGAACACACGCTGGGCTCTCCCGTGCCATCACAGTTACCCAGATGTAACCAGCATAAATATTTGTTAGTCCTCGTAAATACTTTTTATGGCTGGCCTGAACCTTTCCCCTGTTGCACCAATACGGAAGAGAGGTAATTAAAGTAACGTTAAAAGCAACAGTCCCCACATTTGGTACTCCAGAAGGAGTATCTTACGAGGGACGGAAAACCATATCCTACTCATGCACTCACAACAAAAGAGGAGAGGAAACAGTTAAGGTGACCCTGCTTCGGCAGGGGGGTTGGACTAGATGACCCACAGAGGTCCCTTCCAACCCCGAACATTCTATGAGTCTGTGACCAGGGCGCACACCTCCCTCGAGACGCCCCAGGTTTGGGTTCTGGTTCTGTCCTCTCTCCTCCCGGTTTTATAGGGAGATTGTCACAGAATCACAGAATGTTTGGGGTTGGCAGGGCCCTCTGTGGTCACCCAGCCCAACCCCCTGGGTCCCTTCCAACCCCGAACATTCTATGATTCTGTGACCAGGGCGCACACCTCCCTCGAGACGCCCCAGGTTTGGGTTCTGGTTCTGTCCTCTCTCCTCCCGGTTTTATAGGGAGATTGTCACAGAATCACAGCATGGCAGGGGTTGGCAGGGCCCTCTGTGGTCACCCAGCCCAACCCCCTGCCCAAGCAGGGTCACCCACAGCCGGCTGCACAGCACCGCGTCCAGGCGGGGTCTGAACATCTCCAGAGAAGGAGACTCCACAGCCTTGGATTCACCTTGCTCTTGCCACCAGACAGTGCCAAACCACCTGCACCTCACCTACCGACTGCAGGGACACGAGAGCTCCCACCACGGCAGGTACGCCTACGCAGTCCCTGGGTTAGTTCTCTCCCCGTGCCTTCTGCATGCTCGTTCCAGCTCTTTTTGGAACTGGGTCACCTCCCAGTTTAGTCTCCTCTGCAAAACGCAATGGAGCTGTTTTGTTTGCCTTCTCAGTTGGATGCTAAAAACTAAAATAATCTGACAAAAATAGAACTTCAGGGTGCCGAAATAGATGAATAAAAGAGAATAGGAAACCAAGGCTGCTGCAATGTGTTTCAGCCTCATTTTCCACAGGGTCTGCCTCATCGCTGTCGCACGTTGTAGCTGAGCAGGGTCAGGCCACCAACGTGCTCGGGCCAGAGCCCAGCCCAGAAGAGCAGCAGGCGAACCATGAGCTGCTGCAGGGAACGGCGCCTGCAGCCCTCCCTGCCCCATCCAGACGGACACTGCGGAGCGGGGCTCTTCAGACGGGAGAGGGGAAAGCCGCAGCGGCTGCCCACCACCGCACCCTGGGGAGGAGAGGCACAAACAGTTAAATACTCGACTTTGCACATCGAAATCTGGTGAGCCAGGAGCAGAAGATCAAGTTCCATTCGTGAGTTTTCAGGCCAGGGTGTTTGAAAGATGAGCTGAACATGTTTTTAAAAGGCTGCCTTCAAGCAGTTTTCAGGAATCCACAGCAGGACAGTCGGTTCGACAGCCTTCATTAAGAGAAGCTGCAAACGAAGGTGGGAGCGGGTATTATACAAATGGAAACAGGACCCAACTGGTTACCCCAACGTGCTTGGAGGACATGTTTAGCCAGCAAAGTTGGTTCAGCTGCTCCCAGCTATTTCTGGTCTACGGAGAAAGACAAAGGGTAGAGTTATGCCTCACCTATTACAGATTTCTCGTTTAAGGTTATTATTTCCTCCTATGTTTCAGTTAGTCGCTGGCTTGGCCAACAATACCATTTAAGGTTGAAAAGTTATAATTTACATAACAAAATTATGCCTTAGTCAGAAGTTTTACTGCCAGAATAATTGCCTCATTTGAATTCAGCATTCAGTTCATTGCGCTGTTTTAAGGGATCCAGATTTAAAGCAAACCTTCATCTAATCACTTCAGGCAGCTATCAGGGAGCCCTGCTAACTCCACCGGCCCAGCCAGGTCGCAGTGCCACCTGCCTCCGGGCTCTGGGGCAGCGGGGAAGAGAATCTCCATTTTAAAAGGGATGTTAGTAATGGACCCTACCGGAAACGGGGAGAAAAAAACCCCAAACCCACAACCCACTCCACACACACTTTGCTGTGAACAGTAAGAAATAAGGACTTTTAGGCAAACATAGCTTCTTCCCCGCACGTCAGCAGCACATTTCATTTCCAGTTCCTAGAACTGGAACAAGGCTCCCGAGCAGAAACTGCTCTGAAGAGGACCCAGAGCCCAGTCCCCACCCCCAGACTACCTTCTTTCTGCAACACTTCAGTGCTGGCAGGCAGAGAATTGTGGCAGGTGCAGGTAAGTTTTTAAACATTTAAAACCACCAAAAATAGTCGTCAGAAGGTGAAGTCACTGGCAATTCCCTATGATGCTTAATTCCAGAATAATTCAGTTTGCTTTCCTCCACCCTTTAATTTATCAAGCTTCTAATTTTATCTTTAGAGACAACTCTTCCAAAGTTCAAGAAGCAAGCATAAAAGGTTTTCAATCCCAAATGTGCGGTTTTGAATTGCTGATAAGAGGTAAATCTGCCAAGAACGATGGGCACCGAAACAACGAGCAGTGCCGCCTTGAAACTGTTCTTCCATCCTTAAGCAGACGAAACGAAAGGGCCGGTTTTTCTCTCAGCCACATCTGAAAAACAGGATACTGGCACTTCTGGAATGACACTGCTGTTTTTACAAGTCGTAACTACGGCTTGTTTCCACTGCAGTTTTATCGAGTTGGTTCCTGCGTGGGATTGATATAGAAATATGTCTCTATATATGCACAGACCCGCAAGCACCGCTCCTCTCCCTACCGAAGGGAAGACCCGTAAGTCACTGCGCCAAGCTGGCCAGAATCCTTCTGCATTTATGTATCTTCTACATCACTGCAGCCTGGATGTAATATATTTACGTTAGTAGAAGCTCCAAAGGTGGAGGAAAAGCTGGTAGAAAAGGCTCGATTTTTACAGCTCCTTCCTAGGGTGCACAGAGAGTCTGCACCTGGGTCAGGGACTCTCACGACGCCCCGTGAAGGCAAAAGCTTTCCTCCGGCCAGCAAGAACAGAAAGCAGCATCATCTGCTCAGAGAGCACATTCACACTGCCAGTTTTCTGGGCAAAACACCGGAAGGTTTTATTAAGGCGAAAATTTCAATCAAAACCCCAAAGTTTCCCGTGGACTTCTTTTGGTAAACACTAACTCCACTCAACAAAAGTTCCTGGGGTTGCTGACTGCACACGCAGTGCCAACTGTAACTCTGAAAAACCCCTCAGGGCATGCTAACACAAGGCAGAAGCCAAAAAAAAAAAAAAAAAAAGGAAGAAAAAAACCCCAACAACAATAAGAACTCACACCAAGCATAACCTCTGGCAAGGCATTTCTCCTCCCTGGCATCCCGTTTCTCTGTCTATCGAGCTTAGCTTCTCTGTAATGGACACTGCCAATTATGGAGGGCTGAGTACTGAATGCAAGTTAAACTCTGGGCAACCACTTGTTATTTCTGGAAGGACCCGGTGGGTCCTTTGGGCTCCATCTCCAGTACCATTTCCATCCCCTCCGCGCTGCTGGGGCAAGGCAGAGCAGACGGAGAGGTGCTTCAAAGGCATT